CTGTTTTCTAAATGCACATTTTTAAATGCTAAAAAAAAGAAAGAAAAAAAAAAACAAAAAAAAAGAGTAAAAAAAAAAAAAACCCAGAGAGATTTTAAGCCCTTTTATTTTCAAAGCACTTTTTAGATTCTCTTCCTTTTATTTTAATTTTTTTTGTTGTTGTTGGATTTTTTTTTGGTTTTTTTTTTCTTTTTTTTTTGGTGTTTTTACTTTTAAAAAGATAAAAAAGCAAAGAGCAGGTTTTGGCCGAATGTATTTTGGAGAGGGAGTGAGAGGGGAGTGTGTGCTGGGGGTGGGGTGAGTGGTGGGGCTGGGGGAAAGAGATGGATGTTTATTTAATGCAGAAAAACAAAAAAAAGCAATAAAAAATTCCAAAAAAAAAAAAGCTTAAAAAATAATAATAAAAAAAAAAAGAAAACAAAGAAGTCTTAGCACTTTGCGATGGAACGGGTACTTTGAGCTCACTTTATCTTAATTTAAAAAAAAAAAAAGCAAAATTCAAGATGTTTACAAGTCAAAAAAAAAAAACTTTAAAAAAAAAAAAGACTTCTACAGAGAAAAAAAAAATATTATTAAAAAAAAAAAAAGCCTAAATTTATTTTTGTAAGAAAAAAATAATGTGTATATATATATATATATTTAACAAAAAAAAACCTAGAAAAAAAAAATACAAATATAGGCAGAATCCAAGTGAGATTGGAGGATGGGAGGAAGATGCTAATTAGGTTCTGTGACGTGCCCTGACCCTCGGGAATTTTAAATAGAAAAAAAGAAATCCGTGGAAGCTTGAATTTCCAGCAGGAATCCTGGGGGTCGTGCCTCGCTCCCCGCTCCCCACAGCCTTGAGGAGGTTCTTTGGTTTTGGTTCTTTTTTTTTTTTTGTAGGAATAATTTCATTTTTTGGATGGTTTTTAGCCAGAGGTGTCAGGATCCCTGTGGGTTTGGATCCCCTGGATTTGGATCCCATGGATTTGGATCCCATGGATTTGGATCCCCATGGATTTGGATCCCCATGGATTTGGATCCCCGTGGATTTGGATCCCTGTGGGTTTGGATCCCTGTGGGTTTGGATCCCTGTGGATTTGGATCCCCATGGATTTGGATCCCTGTGGATTTGGATCCCTCCTGTTCCCAGCTGGGGCAGAGAGTTGGGATCTGGGCAGGGAATCCCCCCAGGAAGGGGCTGGAGGGATCCGGCTTGGAATGGAGGGGGCTGGGATTGTTCCCTAAGGATGTGCAGCTCTCCTGGGCTGGGAATGGGATCAGGGGCTGGGAATGGGATCAGGGGCTGGGAATGGGATCTGGGACTGGGAATGGGATCAGGGGACTGGGAATGGGATCAGGGGACTGGGAATGGGATCTGGGGACTGGGAATGGGATCAGGGGCTGGGAATGGGATCAGGGGACTGGGAATGGGATCTGGGGCTGGGAATGGGATCAGGGGCTGGGAACGGGATTTGTGTCCCTCCAACTCTGCCCTGGGCAGGGAAATCGGGATCTGGGCTGGGAATTGGGATCTGGGCTGGGAATTGGGATCTGGGCTGGGCCAACCTCTGGCAGCACTGGCTGGGATTTTTTGGGAATATGGAAAGAAAATTCCGTGTGGATTTGGAATTTGGGGACTGGAGGAGGATCCCGGTTGTGCTCGGGGTTCTCTCATCCCAGATTTTCCCACCCTCGCTGCTGCTTTTCCTTCTTCCCCCTTCCCAATCCCGAGGGAATTTTGGGATGTTTGGGGGCTCTGGGGAAGCAGCACCGGGAGGGGGTGAGAGAAAGGGGAAAAAAGGGGGAAAAAGGGGAAAAAAAGGGAGGAAAAAGGGGAAAAAAAGGGGGGAAAGATTAAAAAAAATAGAAGGAAAAAAGGGGTAAAGGGAAACTGGAGGGGAGAAATAAAAGAGGGAAAATAAGGGAAAGAAAGGGGGGGAAGGAGAAATGAGAAATGAAAGGAGGAAAAAAAGAGGGGGAAAAATGAGAAAAGATGGAATAAACCGGGGGGAGGGGCAGGGAGAGAAAAATCAGGGAAGAAAGAAGGAAAAAAAGGAAAAATCCAAAGGTAAAAGAGCACAAAGGAGGAAGAGGAGGGAGGAGCAGACTCAGGATTCCCCAGCCATGTCCCCGTGTCCCCTCCCTGTCCCCTTCAGCACAAGGTGAAGTTTGCACTAAAAACAAATCAAGAGAAAGCAAAAAAAAATAAAATAAAAATTTAAAAAATAAAGCCCCAAATCCCCCAGGGTTGTCCCGGTCCCGTCGCCTTAAAACCCACCCCAAAATCCCCAAAATTCCCCAAATCCCCCCCGGAGCTCAGCAGCCAGAATTTTGTCTTTATTCAAAATTTTCATTTCATTCCAGTTGGGTTTTTTTGTTTTTGTTTTTGTTTTGTTTTTCCTTTTCTGAATCCGGGTTGGGATGAAAGCGTTGCCAAAGAAAGTGCTGAGTTACGGCGGGGAGAGAGAGAGGAATAATAATAGAAGTTATTAATAATAATAATAATAAATAATAATAATAAATGATTAAATAATGACATTTGGATCAAAGCCAAGCAGGGGCAAGGGGAGATAGAGAGGGGAAAAAAGGATTTTTGTTTTAATTTGAAAGAGGAAAAAATTGGTGTCTCCCCACTTTTCCTCCCCCCAGAGCCCCGAGGGGGCTCAGCCCAGTTTGGGGGGGATTAATCTGAATTTAGGGGGGCTCAGCCCAGTTTTGGGGGATTAATCCGACTTTAGGGGGGCTCAGCCCAGTTTTGGGGGGATTAATCCAGGTTTCAGGTGCAGAGCCCAGGTTTGGGGGGCTCAGCCCAATTTTGGGGGATTAATCCTGGCTTTGGGGTCTGGGGGTGCCAGGGGAGGGGCGTCACCCCCCCCAATTTTGGGTTTTTCCCCCCAAATCGGCTCTGGGGGGGTCCTGCCCCCCAAATTGAGCAGGAGAGGTTTCATTTCTCAGTTTTCCACAGGAAAGGGCTGATTCCCCCTCCCCATCCCAAAATTCTCCTTCATCCCCCC